CGATGGGCTTCGCTTACCATCGGTCCGATTAGGGTATCGCTCTCCGAGGGGTCGCCCACTCTTATCTTACTGTAATTTATATTAAAATAACATTTATTTTTATCTAGATTTTTAATTTATAAAACGAAAGTTAATTCGCAATCGTAAGTTCATATTAATAAATCAAATAATGCTAGAAATATGATAATAACTTTAAATTATTATATAAGAGCATGTGTTTTATCACTAAATATTTTGCGCAATAATTGATAACTAATAATAAGCATATTTATCCTATTATTTATCAAACATTTAGTGTATATCTAGTTTGAAAATACGAAAGTTTCCTTAATATTGATTAAAATTAATAAAAAATTTTGAAGACTAAACAAAAATATTTTTCCACTTAAATGGTTTGCACAACATAATATGTTGTTGTATTATGCGTTATTATCACTTAATTAAACAAACAAACCCATACATTAATCATTGATTAAGTAGTTTTAACAATAACAGCATGAATTATCATAAACACCACAATCATTTTGTACCACAGAACTAATTTGCAAACTAATACTTACAGGACTTCTTCGGTAAACTTGTCGACAAAGTGTTTGTAAATACTCTTCTGGACGTATAGACGACTTGTGGACAGACATATTTCGCCGGAATTCAAAAAACACGATCTGATAATTGCGGGCAAATGTGTGTCCAGATTAACGTCGGCGAAAACTATGGCCGCATTCTTGCCGCCCATCTCTAGCGACAACTTTTTCAATAGAGGGGCTGTTTTGACGGCAATATGACGGCCGGTGACTGTACTGCCGGTGAACGACACAAGCGGTACGTCCGGGTGCTCGATAAGGGGTTCGCCCACATTTTGACCAAAGCCAAACACCATGTTTACCACACCATGGGGCAGACCGGCCTCTTCCAGCAAGTGGCACAGTTTGTAGGCGGTGACCGAGGTCATTTCGCTGGGTTTGGCCACTACGGTGTTGCCGTAGGCCAGCGCTGGCGCCAGTTTGAATGTCAGCAAATACAGGGGCAGATTCCAGGGTGTTATGAGTCC